CCAAGTAGCTGGAACTACAGGCGCACGCTACCACGCCCGGCTAATTTTTGATTTATCATAGAGATGAGGTCTGCCAAGTTGCCCAGGTGGGTCTTGAACCCACAGGCTCAGGCAATCCACTCACCTCAGCCTCCCAAAGGCGCGGGATTACAGGCTGAGCCATCGAGCCTGGTGGAAAAGCAGATTCTTAAAGGTGGTAATAGAGGTTGCACAACAAGAGGGGCTAGGAGGGCAGTCTAGACTGAAGAAAATGCACAGAGGCATGAGATGCAATGACATATGTGCAAAATGACATGTGGTTAATATTGGACTGTGAGGTGCATGGGCATAGGGACACTTGGAAAATGACCCTTCAGAAGGGGAGGTGGAAAAAAAAATTAAGAAAGCCTTCTACACAATATGAATGAATTTGGATTCAATCATGAAGGAACCTGGGAGATGTCTAATAACTGAACTGGCATTTTTGAAAGAACTCTGGCAGTAGCGGACAGCCTGGAGGCAGGTAAGAAGCAAGGCAGGGATATCAATGAGGGGCCTACTGCAATAGTCTAGGCTGGAGATCAAGTGTTTGAACTTGGCAAGGGGGTAAATTAGAAGGAATGGATAAGATCTGTAAAATCAGTAGGATTAGGAGAATGAAGGAAATAATAAAAATGATTGCTACTATTTATTGAGAAATGACAACAGAGGGAACTGCTATGGGCTTTATATGCATTATTTTAGGGGTTCATGAAAACTTCGATATACAATAAGTATAGTTCATTAAGATGTGGAATATAGGCAAAGAAGGTTTTTCTTAGGGGAAGAAGGTGTACAAATACAAAAGGCAAAAAAAGGCTGTTCTATTTTTAGCCATTTGTGGAACAAATAGATGGAAATGTCCTCCTGGATATAAATCTCTCAGACTCTGAAAAAATGTCTCAGGTGGAAAAGCCACAAACATAAAGCTATGGGAATAGAATGATCCTTAGAGAACATAGAAAGTATGTTATATGAAGAAAGCTCATGAGTGGTCACAGGATGAAGATATTCCCCTCCCCCTCAAATACTGAGAAAGAATGGTCAAAAGTAGTGAAGAGCTGGTAGGGCATGGTGTTTAGAAAAGAAAAGGATGGTGAACAGATTTCTATGAAGTGTCAACATTTAAAGGAGGAAAGACGTCTCTGAAGAACTCAGAGAGGTAGACTGAGGACCAAGAAAGAGTAATGTCAGAGGTCAGGGGTGTTTCAAGGAAGGAATGCTTGATACAGAAAAAGATGATAGTAAACATTCATGTCTCTGTAAGAGTGCTTTTTGAGAAGACTAGGGTAGTAAGTCTTCTGTAGGTTTAAGTGATGGTAGGAATTGAGGGATGGATGGTTAAGTACAAACAAACATGAACAACTTGTCTGAGATTCCTGGATGTAAAAGGATAAAAAGATGATAAAACCATCTCCAGAGATCATACAGTAGAGGGAAAATTTTTCTTTTCTAGAAGAGTAACAGATATGTTCTTAAGCCAAAAGGAAAGAGGCCAATAAAGAAAAGGAATAACTGATGTGGGGAAGCTGGAGCTTCGAGGGGACTATGCTTTGGAGAAGAGGAAGAACACCTTTTCTTCTGAGAGAAATGTATGTAAGGCTGGTTACCATACAGGGGGCATCTGGAACATCAAGTAGGATCTCAGACAGTTTTCGCTTTCTTTTTCTTCTGTGGATTAGGAACCAAGGTCATCTGCTGAATGTGAGGTTAATATTTAAAAGAAGGCAAACTCTGAATTGGCACAGGTCTGGGGTTTTCAGGATACTTGGGGAGAGGATAAACAAGTAAGGCACTTATGAATGGAAGTCTAGGCAAGCGAGGGCAGGAAGAGAAACTAGCAAAGTGAGCTTGATGACACAAAGAAAATGATGTAGGGATCAAGGGAATAAAATTAATTACACAATCAAAGATGTGCTTACATTCAGGGGTGTTGGAATGAAAGAATCAGAGCTGGAAAGAAAAGAAGTTGAGGTAGAACACGAGAGAGATGAAGATTATAATCGTGGAAGAGTTCTGGTAAATGACAAGGCCCAAGATGGGGACATGGAAGTTGCAATGGAGGTGAACTTGGCTATTGTCACAGAACTGAGACCACGGTATTGCTAGTTCATCTCCATGGACCCTGAATTCGTCCAGGCTACAGGAACAATGCTCATACTATTTGATTCAGTAGTATTTGGTACATTCCCATCTATATGTGGGAGTTAATTAATTTCTTAGATAAGAAGGAATCTAACCTACTAGTGATTACGCCATTAAAAATTCCACACAGTTGTTTTATATCAAGATGAACTCAAGAAAGGGATTACAAATGATTCAGTATCTAAAAATAGGACTGCTTTAAAAACAATTACATTTTTTAATCCTTAAAAATAGAGCAATAATATTAGAGAAAATTAAATCTCAGAAAAGGAAATAATTTTGCCCAAGATTACCAGCTCATTAGCATGAGAATCAGGTTTAGAGCCCACAGTTTCTAATTCCTGTGTCATGTACTTTCCATTATAATGTGTCACCTTTCAGTCAGAGAACAGTCTTAGAAGTTCAACAGATCACAAAACATAATATAGTTTACCGTCTCAGCCATTTTCTCAGCTGGGGTGCTGCAGAATTCAACTGTTGATGAAATCTCTTTTTGAATGTTAATACCAACATTTCCCAGAAGATGAGAATGTACTGCTTTTGCCAACCTGTGATTTGTTAATGCCAGTTCTGCTGTGCTGTGGCGTTGTGCGCTAGGGGAGTAAGTTTGCTCTCTTCCCCACTGTAAGGAGACTAAAAGCTCCTCCAATAATCTGCATAGAACACACATCAACACTGAATATTACTAAGAGGACAAAATATAAAAATCAGTAATCATAAATAAATGAGAAACATTTTTGTTTTTCTGTTTTTTGAGTTGGGGTCTCACTCTGTCGCCCTGGCTAGAGTGCAGTGGCATGATCATGGCTCAATGCAGCCTTGACCTCCCGGTCTCAGGCAATCCTTCCACCTCAGCCTCCCAAGTAGCTGGGACTATAAGTGGTGTTCACTACCATGCCCAGCTAATTTTTTGCTTTTTTGTAGAGATGGGGGTCTCGTTATGTTGCCCAGATTGGTCTCGAACTCCTGGACTCAAGCAATCCTTCCACATTGGCCTCCCAAGGTGCTGGGATTATAGGCATGAGCTACCATGCCCAGCCTGAGAACCATACTTCTGAAACGATATATTATTTTTCTCCACATCTTACTCTCTCAGAGTTCCTAAATTAAGATATCTGGTCAAATAAGTTAGACTGCAGGAAGCACATGTCAATCTATTAGGTTGTTATCTGAAAATCAATCAAATAGTACTTTTTTTAGTTTTCACATTTTAGTGTAGGAACTATTTACTTGATTTGTGCAACTAACTGAGACATTCATGTAGTATTTTTTTTTTGATGAGTTACATTAATTGATATTTGAATGCTAAAGCAATCTGCAATTCTGAGATTAATCCTACTTGGTCTTAATGTATACACTTTTTTCTATATTGTTGGATTTCATTCACTAAAATTCTGTTAAGAATTTTTTGCACTATGTTCATTAGAGGCTTTGGTCTGTGGTTTTCTGATAACATCTATAGTTTTGATATCAAGATAATGCTGAACTGAGTTGAAAATTCTGTCTTTCTCTTCCATTTCCTAGAAGAATTCGTGTAAATTTGGTTTTATTTCTTCTTTAGATGTTTACTAGTATTTACTGGTGAAGTCATCTAGACCTGGAACTTCCTTTACTGGAAAGTTTTAAACTATGAATTCAATCGCTTTAATGGGTTAGGGCTATTCAGGTTATCTATTTTTTTCTTGACTAGCCTTTGATAATTTGTCTGTCAAGGTGTTTGTCTATTTCATCTAAATTACTAAATTTATTGACAAAGAGTTGTTCATAACATTTCTGTATATCCTTTTACATGTACAGAGTCTGTAGCATATCCCCCCTTCCTAATACGAGTAATGAAGTATCTTCTCTTTTTTCCTAATTAAACTAGCTAGAGGTTTCTTATGTTTATCTTTCCAAAGAAGTGATATTCAATCTTGTTCTCATCATTTTTTTCCTTCCTGTTTACTTTGGATTTAATTTGCTTTTTGTGTTTCTTAAAGAGGGAGCAGAGATTCCTGAGACCTTTCCAAAATAAGCATTTAAAGCTATAAATTTCCCTCTAAACACTGCTTTAGTTGCCTCCCACAAATGCTGACATACTGTGTTTTCTTCCTTCAAATTTCCCCTATAATTTACTCTTTGACGCTTACTGATTCCATTTGTAAGAAATCAACTATATAAAAATATAAAGAGCTTTTAAGGAAGACTATCATATTTGGTAGTTCTGGAGACTATGGACATGAAAATAAGCTCTAATACTGTAGAAAGTCCTCAAAAAAAGATCTCCTTCTGTAGGAGAGACAGGTATACTTCTTGGCTTCTACCAAAAACTACAAATCTGATGCAATTGTAACCAAAAACTGCTTTTAAAGACATCTAGAGATTTCTTCTATAGATATAACTAATTCTCTCCCCAATTAAGAATATGGGAAGCATGTCTTCTATGAGTCTCAGATTTTAGTTACTACCAAATTCCTTAAATGAATGTCAAACAATTTTTGACATTAAAATAAAATATCAATAAAGCTGTATACTTTTTACTAAAAAATATAATGTTACTATTAGTGTTGATCAGGATGTTAAAAAGTTTCTGCAGTTATACTGCAATAATCAGTATAACATGCATGATCTGCCTCTTAAAATGTTTTTAGTCTTCCTTCTTCCCAGGGCACCTATTTTAAAGTGCTACTCAAAATAAATGTTCAATAAGTTATCAAATATAGAAATATGAGAAAAACTATACAATAACAAAAACTGCAGGAGAAAACAGAAGAGTTCAGAATGTAAATAAGGGCCTTACTTCTGGGTAGTTATCATTTCCTGACGAAACTGTTCCCGTTCACTCAGGAGATCCTGTATAGCACTGTGTGCATCACGGTTTTGACGTTGTAAAGCTGCTCTTGAGTTGGTTAACTCATCTGCCATTACCCTGAAAAAAGATTAAATCTTACACACAAATTCTCTGACAATAACGCAGTGTAAAGAAGTTGATATACTACTTTGTGACTGCCATTTTCAAAAGCTAACAGCTTTAACATAGTCAAATTCTCAGTTTTCAAATTTTCACTAAAAAACATTAAATATGTTTATGAACTTAGAGTTCATTAAAGGGATCCAGTAATAATATTCATTTACCAAATGACAAAGGCAAAAGTTATTTTAGCTTTCCTCTACAGTGACTTGTGGAATGTATTTCAATCTAACTCTAGGTTGACCAAATTTTGAAGGAAAAAAAAAACAACTACTAAATGTTTTTAAATACAGACAGATTTAAAAAGGAAAACAAAAATGAATTACCACTCAATTACCTCTTTACCCTCAGCAAAGTATCAATCTAGAAAGGCTTATATGAAGTCTTTCCTCCTGCCCAGCATCCCCATCCTTCTTTCATATGTAACCAGTAAAGCTTATTACACACTTTTCCAGAAAAAAATAACTTATATTAACATATAAGCATGTGTTAACAATAAATCTACCCACTGTATTTACAAAAAGAGATTATTCAATACAAACTTTTCTACATCTTACTTTTTTCACATAATAGTTTATCTTGAAGATTTTTCCATATTAGCACATTCCCTTAAAAAAAAAAAAACAAAAAAACTTTAACTTTAACCATTTCTCTATTGATGGAAGTGAAGCAAAATTTTAAAGTATGGTTATTTAGCTGAAAGCCTTAGAACTAAAATTCAAGTCTCAGACTTTGTTACTACCAAATTCCTTCAATAAATGTCAAACAACTTTTGACACTGAAATAGTAAATTAATTTAAATATCAATAAAGTATAATTTTTATTAAAAAATATGTTCCTATTAGTGTTGACCAGGATGTTAAAAAATTACTGCAGTTATACTGCAATCTGTATAACATATGTATGATCTATCTCTTAAAATGTTCAATAATTGCATTTACTGCAATGTCTAAAAAATGTGAAATAAGAATTAATTAGCTTTCATCCTAATTCAATAAATAGTAAGTTCTTTTCTAAAGAGCAACCTATACTTGCACAATTAGGAGACAAATAAATTAAGGACTTTAAGAGAGTAAACAACTACTAGAAAGTATCATAGCTATAAAGACATAAACACTTTTCTAAAAATTTAGTTATCACAATCAGTGGTTCTTAAAATGCAGCCTGGAAACCACTGGTGTTCTGTGAGACTCTCCAGATGATTCAATTTAAATAAACAGCTAGTAAACATACATGTAAAATAATTTGTTAAGTACTAGATATACACAGATGGACAACATCCAGATTCTGTTCTCCAATAACTCAAAGTTGAGTCAGAGGGGGATAAATAGACAAAACATTATAATACATAGCAGAGTTTCCCAACTCTGTTTAGAGGGCTGGAATGGGGCTTTGGGGTTCTCATCTCTGTTGGAGAAGCCTCATCCAGTATGCTATAAAAATGTTATAATTTTCTATTTGTGCACAGACAGAATAAGGTTGGGGAGAAGAGCCATGAGTACACAGCATGAAGAATGAATAACATTATCTTAGGGAGTGGGACAAATATTTGAGTGGGGAAAAATAATTTTGTGATTTTAATATTTACTAGATGTCTAAGTTTACAGTTTTGTTTTGGTCTTAAACACTGTAGTAGGAGTGAGTTCTTCTGTATAGTTCCCTACAATTTAAGAATAAGGGAGGGTCCTTAACATTTTTCCATGTAAGGAGAATGTGTGACCTAGAGGAGAGTGAGTTTACACCTTAAAATAATATATAAAGCACTTTGATGACCTTACTCAGAAATTTTCACACTACAATTTACTTTCTTGTGTTATAGGTCAAAAATCTGATACAGCAAAACCTAGGGAATGAAATACTATTTACAATAGGAAATACCTGCTTGCGAGGAATTTACTTCGCCATACATCACACTGTATTGACATACGTTCTAACTGTTCTGAAAGCTGAGCTGTGTTTCGACCTAGGGCTTCATTTTCTAAAATAAGCTGATTTTTTTCACGGGCTAGACGTTCAAAGTGATACTGAAGATCATCCCCAACAGAAGCCACCAGCAACTTTTTTAATTCACGATTTACCTAGAAGAAAACATGACCAATACATACAACAAGCTCAAAGTAACGTCACTGACTTTAATGTAACAAAATTAACAAAAGGAGACTATGTTTGTGTAATTTGGACCTCCATTACTTAAACTGTATATCAAAAAGTAAAATTAAATATTTAAGTTTCATAATATATACAAATGATAACTCTCTACTTCTCTCTATATATGTTTACCTACAGTCCATGTGGTTTAAACTGAGCCTTTTGTAATAAGAGTAAAAATCATTATCATGAAAATAAACTGCTTCCAGTCAACACTTAAAGGAAAAAATAAATCAGAAAACTAAACAATTAAATTTTGCTAAAGAAAATATGACAGAGAATTTCTTATGTGGTTTTTAAATTTAACATTTATAAGTTAATCTATTGCATCCTAAGAGTTTGATTTTAAGAAATTAAGTGAGGCAGTAATCCAGGATATCTGTAAGTATACACTTTACACTGTTATTAAAAAATGCAAAAAATTAAAACAATGTCCAATAATAGGTACTGCTATATAGGCAGCCACTGAAGAACACTGTTGCTATTAATAATATTATAATAGAATCTTCTGTGACATGGGAAAACATTAATAATGGAAAAAAGTGAGTTATTTGACAAAATGAATTCAATATGTATAATTATGCAGGCATATCTGGATGGTATGATTATAGGTAGTACTATCTTCATTGTGTTTTTCTGTATTTTCTAAAATGTTTACAAACAAATATGTACTACTTTTTGTAATTAGAAGTTAGTTATTTAAAAATATATTTGGAAAAGAATCACTAACCATGATGTCACTTATGAAGACTCGCATCTAGCAAAAATATGTATAGTCTAACTGAGAAACAAGGGGGGTAAGGCAATTTTTACTAAGGTGTAAAGATTAAAGCAACACAATTAAGCATTACAGTTTCTTTTACGTTTACAATGAAGACACAGTAATTTATACCACCATTCTCTTTATTCCAAGTATCATGAATACATAGGCAAATTACTTGGAATTTATAGATCCTTAAAAACATGAACTGCTAACTAGTCAATTACAAAGTCTCACTTGGTCAGTCTTTGGTCTGGCAGTTTATAACTGCAACCTGCTTTTACAACTTGTAAGTGGTGCTTTCCAAAGAACCTCACACCTCCATCCTTAATGAAATTTAGGGTATAAGTTCCCAATACAGACTCTCGCTAGAGACTCTGAGAATGAAACATTTAAGAGGAAGCATTTTAGAGAAATGACAAATTTTCTAATGACAGGTTTAGAAGTTCCAGCTGTGCTGTGCTTACCTCTGTCTGTACTCGGAGCTGGTTTGAAAGACCTTCTTTGTCCTGCAGTAACCTTTGTTCAGAGTTCTTGAGCTTTTCTAATAAATTCTTTACCTCTGAGAGTTCCTTATTAGGGTCAGTAACTCCCTCTGACTGACCAAGGAATTCTCCTTTCTGATGTCCCAGAGACTTAACCTTTGCATTTTTGTTGGGGATATCATGAGTTATAGCAGCTTTGGGAACTAATATTCTTACAGCTTCGACTTCCACTGCTTTTTCAGTGAGAATTTTTCCTAGCTGAAGAACTCCTGGGCTCTCTGAAGGAACTGCTTTCTTCCATGGACTCTGTAGGCTGTGATGCGAATTTCTGGATTGGCCCCCAGAGGCGACTTCAACAGATTTAGGTGGCTCTTCAGTTTCCATTCCATCTCCTGCTCCTCGGATTGGGGTTGAATTAAGGGTGACTAGCAAAGGGAGAACAAAATACCAACTAGTTACCAAAAAGAAATGCCAAGATATGCTATAGCCTATACTCAGAATTACTGGCACTAAAAAGAATGGAAAAAAATTTAGAGTAAAAAGTCATTTTCTGCCAGGCTTGGTGGCTCAGCCTGTAATCCTGCACCTTTGGGAGGCTGAGGTGAGTGTATTGCCTGAGCCCGCCAGTTCGAGACCCCCCTGAGCAACTTGGCGAGACCTCATCTCTACAATAAATAAAAAACCAGCCGGGCATGGTAGCGCATGCCTGTAATTCCGGCTACTTGGAAGGCTGAGGCGGAAGGATCGCCGGAGCCCAGCAGGTCGAGGCTGCGGTGGCCAGGAGCGGCCACTGTACTCCAGTCTGGGTGACAGAATGAGATTCCAACTAAAAAAAAAAAATCATACTCAAATCATTTTATTGATGTCTCATTCCCCCTCCTGGCTTTCTACTTATTTTAAGGGCACTATGCTCCCCTAAAAGTGCTTTGCTTGTAGTACTCAATATATATCTGATGAACAATAAATGAATGATGATAATGGGAAGGATAAAGGACAAGCATGCAGTTCAGTAACAGTGGTCATAATGATGAGCTTTGAGGGATCACAGGCAGCAAATATGGTGCTGGGTGCCTAATGTAGGTCAGATATTCTGTGAGGTAGAGCAACCATCATACTCAAGAAATACACTATCTACTTTAGGAGACAGGACATACATATCAAAAAATAAAATGCTACAGGATAATATATAATAATTTTTCAATAAGTGGTATAAAAATACTTCAATAGAAATTTTATTTTTATAGAAACATTAAGAACAGTCATAAACTACTGTCTGGTCAATTCACACTCTCTAGCCAAGCCATATATACAAATAAATAATGTAATCTCCTAAGATAAAGACCTGAAAAAGAATTCCCAGCTAAAAAAAAAAAAAAAAAAAGCCAGAGTCTTTAGTCTCAATTACTATTTAACATCATCATATCCTTGATATATCAAATATTAATCATGTTTCACTGTAAACATGCAGTTAGGAGAACTCATTTAGTTTGGTAAGAGTGATAATAAGGTCTTTCTGAAATTAAACCTTTCTTAAGAGTTTCTGAAGTACAAAGCCATATTAAAAGAAAGATCACATAATTTGTAACATTCCAAATTAAAGCAGCTTATGCTGTCACTTTGGCTTCTGGTCTTAGAAATGAAATTCTACCACCAAAGCACCATAGAAATGGTAAGCTTGCTCAGGGTAATGTTAAGAAAATGCTGAAAAAGTTACTTGTTTACAGCAAGAGGAAATAATAACCAACAAGAATACTTTTCCCGAGGTTTGTTTGTTACATTTCTACTTTTTAAAGAACTTCATCTTCCAAACTTTATTATATAAACACAGAAACTACAGAATAGATCATCTTCACAGTCACATATTCTCTGGTTTCTATCACTATTTAAAAAAACATTTCATTTTAAAAGATATTAAGGATAAATTTACTCATATTTTCATCACTCTAAAATAATTTCTCATTACTTCAGATTTCTTCAATATTTATATACTTGTAATCATAATAAATTTTATAAGCTTAATATATTTTTCATCTTATGGTTAGAATATATTCCTTAATGTATCATTATTAATTATTATTCTATTGTTGGATATTTAGACTTCAATTTTTCACTGTAATAAATAATGCTTGAACTTTTTTTTTTTTGAGTTGGAGTCTCACTGTTGCCCAGACTGGAGTGCAGTGGCCGCTCCCGCTACCGCAGCCTCGACCTGCTGGGCTCCAGCGATCCTTCTGCCTCAGCCTTCCAAGTAGCTGGAACTACAGGCGTGCGCTACCATGCCCGGCTAATTTTTTGATTTATTGTAGAGATGAGGTCTCGCCAAGTTGCCCAGGCAGGTCTCGAAACTGCGGGCTCAGGCAATCCACTCACCTCAGCCTTCCAAAGTGCGGGATTACAAGCTGAGCCACCGAGCCCAGTTGGTTGAATATTTTTATGCCTATAGAGTTTTTTCAACTTTCAAATTCCCAAACACAGAATTAATCTGTCTGGTGAAGATCTGTTTTGCAAACTGACTCCCAAAGTCACTCTACCAATGTAGTAGTAAATTAATTCCTTATGTCCTTACTTATTTATTTATTTTTGCATGCTTACCACATATGATTTAATACAATACTTAAAAGTGAATGTAAAGTATTTAAAATGGTTTTTGGCACAGTAAGCACTTGTCACATGTTAGGTTCTATTGCTTTTATTATCTTTTAGAAATCCTAATAAGGCAGTTTCTCTCGCTCACGCCAGCTCTGGCATGTCTTTCTATCTTTCCCCTTCTTTTTCTAATAAGCTTTGTTAAAAAAAATCCTAATAAACTTTAGATGTTGGTAAAGGGGATAAAGTTTATGTAATGTCATAAGATATAATTCTGACTTGTATTATTTTATGCTAGTCTTAAAGGTATATCACTAGACTTTAGGACTATTTTTTCATTCAACAGATTGTCCCCCCCCACAAAATTTTCCTATGTATGTAACAACGTTCTGGGAATCCTGAGTTATGGTAGTTCAATGTCAGGTGGCAAGACAATGGTGTGTAATTAATATGTTCTAATTTATAAAACCTTTTATGGTAGAATAAAATAGTGTCGTTTCTATATTAAATTTAAACCAAAACACCCCTAGGGCCTTAGGACTCACTCTACTTTCATAAAGATAAGCAAAGGACTACTTTAGAAATAAAGGGTTCCATATATTAGTTAAAAGAAAGCATGGTAGCACTCACAAGGAGAACTAAAATTTGATTTTAAGTTTGTCCAACTTTAATGTAAATGTAACTTTGTCAGTAATGCATTCTGGCACTTAAGAAGGAATGCAGGATAATGTTTCACCTATAGATTAATCAAAAACATCACCAGCAAAAAGACACACTGGAGACATGCCTCAGGCCCAATGAGACTATGGAAATAAGCAGGTGTGATGATACTTCCATTATGCTTAAATAAGACTCCTAAGCAAGTTGTAACGTTTTTGAGTAGGAATTTTAAATAATGGAGATTCAAGAACAAAACACAAAATAGTTAAGGCAAAGAAACAATAATGGGTATTTAACAGAAATCTCTTTTCAAACAAAATACCTTGTAAAATTTCAATCAAGAAATTAAGTCAACTGTTTAAACCACAATTTATTTAACTTTATTTAAACTGTTCTACTTACTCAAGCAATTATGAATACGAAAGTTGTACTGTATATCATATGACAGCTCCCTCTCAGTAATAACTATAATTCTAGCTAATGTGCACTGTCAAGCAGGCAGTGAGAGCGAGGGCCTTACATTTTCTCACCTGGCCACTCTCATAATTCTAGTTTTCTTTGTGACATACATAGAAACCTTTATTACATATGAACTAGGCACAATCCAGGCCACATTCATTAACAACTACCTTCTCTCAAGACAAAGATCTATGGTACCAGCTCCATAATTATGATTAATGCATATGTAAAGCAAAACATCAATCCTTATTCTTCTCCACTTTGAAGGGAGCCAACAAAACTTCCTTAAATTATTCTACCATTTTTTCCATCTATGATCACTTATCAATGGATTAAAATATATCTGAGGTTTGCTAAGTCTTACTGCTTTCCTCCAGGATTGGTGAAATGCAGGGAAAGAACCAATAAGGTTACTAGTCTAACATTCTGAAATAGGAGCTGGCAAACTTTTTCTGTAAAGGGCCAGATTGTAAATATTTTAGGCTTTGTGGACCAAGAGTAAAATTAAGGATACTATATAGGTACTTATATAAGAGGAGGAAAAAAATTTACTGATAAAATTATATCTGTAATAATAATAATAATAATAATTGAGTAAAGTTTTTTGGTAACATAGGTCTAATAATAAGAACGGAATACTTTTTAATTCAGGATAACATTTGGCTGATTGCATATTCTCAGGAGGACTGAGGGTCACAATTTGCCAAACCCTGCTCTAGAATACTGACACAAAAAGAATATTTAACTATCTGTCATTGAGTAAATATTGCTCCTTTATTCATACAACTGTAAATCTACAAAGACGTGTACTCCAAGTCAGTAGAATGGGGAATGGAAAGAATACCATACTCTGAGTTAAAAGAATTTAATTCTCTACTGCTATGCATTGTGTGACTTTCCAAAATCACTTAACCGTACTCTCCTCCCATCCCTTGGTGCTTTCAGAATAATGCAAATACTGTCATCTATATTTTAAAAGTAATTTGTTTCTCTTGCAGATTTGACTTTTAGGAGTTCCTCGGGGTCGGGACTGCATCCTGATTTTTATATCACCAGCTGATGAAATGGTCCTTGGCACAAAAAGATGAATAAATAAATGAACTTCTTACTGAAGTTCCTTAATCTCTTAATATACTACCTAGAGAGTTTCATTCTAACATCCACAAACTAACTCATTTAAAACTGCTTTTTTTTTTCCACACCAAATCATTAATTCCTAACTCAGTTATAATCTGACTTTCCGGAACATTTGCAACTTCAGCTATAAAACAAATTATTGATTGTAACTTGGTAATTTTAAATCAAGACTCGTTTAAACATCACCATATCACCTAATAAAGTTTAGTTAGTTTGTGCTAAATTAGACAAACACGTTACAGAAAATATTTAAGAGTTAGATCAACATTCATTGAAGTAGAATCCAAACTTTCTTCTTGTCACAGACTCTATGGATAAAGAATTCTCCTGGTCAAATAAGTGTGGGCAATGTGGCATATTGCATTTCTTTGGAGCTTCACAGTGTACATTAGTATATTAAAGACTCTGAGAGGTCCTGTAGTATAACCTCTCTTTTAATCCAGCCTTTCCCAATTTACCTGTTCATGGAATCTTTTTTTAACCTAACAATTGTATTCTACAGAACTAGGATTAAAGTTAGGTGACTATTTTATGGAATCATAAATATTTAAATGTCTCAGACCTGTCTGGGTCTGACTTTAATAGCTTTAATTTTAATTTTTTTCTTACAGCAAATAAAAGTTTTGGGTTTCAATTTTAACTTTCTAATTGTTACTATTCATCATGTGTCTCTCTTTTAGGAAGAACGCTAGCAGCCATGATACATCTCTCTTTTGATGACAGTATTGCTCAAACATCCTCTAAAAGGAAGTTGTCCCTATACCAAACAATTGTGTTTCTCTCCTAAGGCAATTAAAGAAAGTACAGACAACTGATAAATGTCAACCATGATAAGTATATATTTTCTCATACTTTGCAATACAAGTAACTTTTGTTCAGTAAAAATAGACACTATATTGAGTAGTAATAGGGCTAATTTTAGAATTAGACCTCATTACTCTAATCCTCTTTATAAAGTATTAACACATAATAAAAAGTAATTTAATTTCACAGAGGCCTTGCAATAACTAACTTTTAATCACTAATCATAATACTCTATTTAGTTTTTGTTTTTTGACATATACCATGCTGGTTGCTTTCATATTAGTTATCACTTAATTGCTCTGCTTTTCCACTAATCCCCAGTTTATTACCTTCATTACAGTCTCTGATTTGCTTATTCTAGTACTATAATAGCCTTCTAGTGACTTAGGAAATGCTATAGCACAGCTGAGTTAAATTCAATTAAGTATTTATTGGCATAATCTTTCTTCCTTATTTCCTAAACATGTTTCAACCTCCTTTTAAAGGGTTTGTTGCTAGATGTCTGCTTGCTGCAAAACTGACTTCTAGAAAATAGTTCCCCATTTTTCACTGCAGTCCCAGCTAGCAGAACTCATTCCACCCAAAGGATAAGCTGGGTCAGGAGGAATTCACATTGGGACATGTTAAAACTGCTTCCTATATCTATATGAAGATGGCCAGTAGCTTGTAGTCTATAAGGATCTGAATCACAAGGGAAGAGTTTAGGGCTATAGATTTGGAAGTAGTTCCTATAGATAATTACTGAAGCTCTAAAAGCAGAAGAGAAACAGGGCTGAAAAGCACTGATATTTAAAAGATAAACCTGAAGGAAAAGCTGAAGAAGAAACAGAAGATACAGCTAAGCAGTGCTGTCCAATAGAATTTTCTGCAGTGCTAAAAATATAATAACCACTAGTCACATTTGGCTATTGAGCACTTGAAGTGTGATTAGTGTGACTGAGGAACTAAATTTTTAATTTTTAAAAGATAGTAATTTAAATTCAAATAGTCACATATGGTTACTGCATCGGACAGTGAAGGACTATAGAGTAGGCTGAGAATAAAAGTGCTGTCATGGAAAGGAAGTATTTCAAAAGGTAGGGAATGTTCCACAGTATTAAATATTATAGAGAGGACATGCAAGGCAGGACTAAAAAGTGACTACTGCATTTAGCAAGTGTTATGGGTTGAATTGTGTCCATCCAATATTTATATGTTGAAATCCTAACACCCCAAACCTCAGAATCAGACTGTATTTGGAAACGGTAATTAGTTAAGATGAAATCATAAAGAAGTGGGTGTCTTATCCGACATGACTGATTTCTTTATAAAAAAGGGGTATTTGGACACAGAAACATGCATACAGGTAGAACAGTATGTGAACATGAAGGTAGAGATCTACCTTCATGAAGGTAGAGATCTACCTTGTAGAGGGTGGTGCCTCTACAAGCCAAAGAGCACCAAAGATTGCCAGCAAACCAAGCCAGGAGAGAGGTCTGGAACAGATTCCTAAGCCTTCAGAAGCATAGCCGTGCTGACATTTCAGTCTTGGACTTCTAGTCCCTAGAAATACGAGACAATAATTTTTTGTTGTTTAAGGCATAGAGTTTATATAGTACTTTGTTACAGCAACCGTAGCAAACTAATATAACATAAAAGAGATCTTTGATACCCGCTAGTTGAATATTTACATAAGTCTTTAAAAATGCATATTCTTATTGGATAGGGAACATAGCTGTTAAACTTTGGTGGATAGGGAACATAGCTGTTAAACTTTGGTGGACAGGGAACATAGCTGTTAAACTTTGTCTTTACAATAAATATTTTAAAATGGTCTCTAATAAATACTATCTCATGATGTTAATGTCACTTGCATATCTGAAGTACTAAAATATGAACGCTGCACTACCAACTAAACATGAAGAGATCTGAAATACAAACAATTCCCAAGGGGTCCATGAGGTTTATCAATAAACCTTAAATTTTATAAACCTCAAATATTGTCAAAAATTTCAAGTTTTTAAAAGAATTATTATCAAAAGAAGAACACTTACCTTTGGTTTCTAAACTTTTAAGAGTAGTCATTTTTTCCCCTTAATCAAGGAAAATGTACTCCAAGACTTCTACTGAAAAACCTAGAAATGTATACATATGAAAGAATTAAAACAATATGATATAAACACATTCATTGAGTGCGTCTAACTTAAAGGCTATGATCTTTTAATTGCTTCTGCATTTAGTATACATCCATGTAGACAGGGAAGTGTCCCTTATATCCCCTTCTCACGGCTGGCATTTTTTGAGAACAAATGTCTCGAAAAAGTTGGGACTGTTTTACTTGTAAATACTGTTTCACCGCTCATACCAATACACTCTAAATTGTCAGAGATGTGTCCTAAATTTGAGTTGAGCAATGGCAATGAGGCTGCTGTAGGGGCTTTTGTATGGTCCATAGACAAAGGGAATAGTAAAGTAATTACTTTCTTAGGAGACGTATTAACACAATTTGCTCACTATATGTATATATATATATCAGAGAGGAGCTTCTGTTCCGATGTTTAACAAGAGACACACATATTACTCAAGATAACTTAATTTGTACTTTTTATGGTAAGAAAATTAAACGGGATAGCTTTTAGGGGTAAGAAAAACATACACTGAGCACATGCTCTCAGAAATGTATGCACGGCCTTACACTACAGACAGATTGACCGCAGAACATGAGAAGACGATACTAATGCAAGGATACCAATATGATACACAGTACACTGGATGACTACCGATTTCATCACAACAAATGATCGCTCTCAGTCCTCGATACAGCTCAGCACAGGGTCTTCCAATGACTGAACTTCCTAAACAGTCACAAACCTTCCTTCACTTATCGTCTGCCGCTCTGAAACAGGGACCCAAAGACCCTTCGTAAGAGCGCTGACCCCTGAAACCGCGCCTGGAAGCTGCTCTGAGAAAGGTACAGGCACGGCGAGAATCTGCCGGCAAGTACCGAGTGGAGGGGCCCGGGGAGTGGGTACCAAGCACGGAAGCGACAAGTCAGTCAACCTGTGCTGACCCGAAGTCGACGCCCAAGTTCCATTCCCGTTTGAACAAACCTTCGAGGAACAACAATCTCTCCTTAAATCCAAAGCTACTGGCCACCCAGCTCCCACCCAGACCTCCGTCCCTTTCCACTCGCCCCTCGGTTACATATGCTTGCTTCTTCTTGGATTTACCTCTAAGATCCGGATTCTCCCTGTGTCAGGAAGCTTCGCTTCACAGGCTCTCAGGCTCGGTGTAACAGAGCTAACTTCGCGCACTTCTATCGCATTCCGAAGCCTACCCACCCAGGCCCTCCAGACATCAGGCTGTTCGCTCACTCCCAATCACTTCCGATGACTCAGGGTTTCACTTCCGGGATACGATTCCAAACGAGAAAGGCAAGCATATTCCGCAGTGCGTTTAAACTCAAGAAACATAGGACATACGGTGTAAGGCTTTAGTGAGTAAAAAGTGGACAGATGCCTGTTGTAAGACAAAATGCTGTACGGCCAAAATTTGGAGCGCAAGCCACATATTCTCTTAAACTTCCGGATCATCTGTCAACCAAACGGAAGTAAAGATGTTGGAGCGAGGAAGACGGCGTCCCCCTCCAGGCAACAACGTGGAGGGGCGGGTCTGTCGATTGGATGGACGGAGATGCGATGATGCCCAGCCACTAGGGACGAAGGGGTGGGGCAGTGGCGTCTTACGTATGTCCGGTGGTGGGCGGGGCTATGTTGCCAGAGTAACCGGATGGTGGTGTTGGCGGTGTCATCCTGTCGCACGGATACCGATTTCTTTGTGCTGCGTTCCTGAGATATGGTGAGTGCCTGGGGAGGCCAGAAGAACGGTTCTGGGGTCCTGGTTATGCAGCGTCCCGTCTTGGGCGGAAGGGCCCTCAGAGATGTCTCCGTCCCTTGCCCCTCGCCCCGTTATCTCTTTCCACCTTTCCACGGTCTGTTCAGTGGTCTCCTCGGTCTCCTGAGGTCCTGGAGCACTCTGAATTCCTCTTGGGTGCTCCTGAGCCTGTAGAGTAATGAAACAAAGTTTAAGGGTGGAGACATCGAGTCTAATTAACCTAAGGTGAGACATTATTTCGAACAAACATTTCATATTTGCGTTGTTCATCGTTGCATCTCTCAAGCTCATGGACGCGCTTCATTAAGAGTGTGAAGTGGTGTGTATGTGACTGACCCCACACGGATCCGAATCTCCCTAGATCTTGGGGCCTTTACCCTCCTGAGTGGCAGAGCACTGCCCCAGGGCTCGTGTAAGGGCCATTTGGTAATAGGTGTTTGTTGGATCAGCTCTCTTCCAGCCAACTGATTACCTTCTAGGTCCGTGCTTTTTTTTTTTTTTTTCCTTTTATTTTTGACAGGAATTTCCCCCAGGATCACTTGGAGAGCTTCTGGAATTCACCTGAATGACTAGGAATGGGGCTCGGATTTTTCATTTTTATAAGCCTGTAGGTGATTTTAATTTACTCACAAGTTCGAGAGCACCAGAATTCTAGTTAATTCTCTTAATTACCATATCTTTTTAAGCATCTAAAAGTGCTGGAGGGTAGAACGGTGACTGTTCTCAGATGGATATAGGTATTAATCTAACAAAACCCTACCCAGCGCCCCTTGTTTGTTCATACATCTCAGCAATCTGTTTTGTTCCCCCAGTCTTCCCCTGCCCATTTCCTACAGAGACATTTTCAAATCTTTACCTTACAAACCCTGTCCTTTGACCTCCTCATTTCTCTTTCTAAGCAGATGACCAAGTCTAACAGGCAATCTTTTCAACCTTGTGCTCCCAACCTACACTTTGACCTATGTTTTTACCTATCCTTTAGTTTCGTATTTCTAGTTTAGAGAGGGGGATGTTGAAGGATAAGCCAGCCCTCTATCTTTTCTCGTGTTCTCATTTGCCCCCGTCTGTTACATTTTGCTTCCAGTTATCTCTCTTCTTTCCTGAGCTTTCAGCATCTTCCTCTCAAGTTTCTTTTCCTCAGCGCTCGTCATACATCTTACACAAGCTAAATAAAACAAAATCATGCCCCCCCATCCTGTGTTTATCCAGTTATTGCCCAATCCTCCCATCTATGAGTAAACTGCTTGAAAGCATGATGATTTTACGTGTATCAATCAGAAAGAAGTCTGTGTCTGGCTTTCTCATTAATGGCTTCAATGTAGTTGCTCTTGCTTGGTTTCTAATGGCCTTTTAAGTGCCAAATCCAGTAATTACTTCTTAAAGTTTACATTACCCACTGAGGTTCATGTTCATTCATTCCTCTTCTTTTTCACTGCCTGCTTTTTGAGTGTCACTCTCTGGGATTTACTCCTCTTACTTTCATTTCTTAGCTTACACAGTTTCTTTGGCTGATTCCATCCACATTCATAGATTCTACTAATACCTTTGTTTCACTTTTAAGTTTCATTTTTCATCTCAGACTTTCTAAGGCTTAACCCATTTGTTTCCTGGACATTTATACCTGTGTATCTCAAAGGCCCCACAAACAACATGACCAAGGCTGAACTTGCTGTCTTTCCTCCTGGTTTCTCCTATTTTCTAATGATACTGCTATATTGAAACCTCAACCAGAAGTCAAGTTATCCTGCATTCCTCCCTCCCTTACGTTTCCCATATTCATTGGTTACTAGATCCTGTTTTAGTTTAGTGTCTCCTCACTTCTTGGCCAGACTATTGGAATAGTGTCTTTAACAGTCTGGTCTGGCAATTCCCCAGTCTATTATTTTCTCTGTCTTAGGACGGAATTTTTAAAAACTTAAACTGTTGATTTACTCACCTATTTAAGACTCTAGACTCCCTATACACAGTAAAATGCCTGGAATGACACATACAAGGCCTTCCATAATCTAGCACTTATCTGTCTAACTTCTCTGTTGCCTTTCCCTTTCCTAGACATCCTTTTAGCCTCTTGCCTTTCATGAACATACCAAGCAACTTCAAAATGGTAATATGCCTTTTTTTACTTTGCACATGCTACTCTTTCTACAGTGAATATCCTTACCTCTTGTTTGCTTGGCAAATTCCTATTGATCCTTCCAGACCTACCAGGTTGGGAATCTCTTCTACGATACCTTCCTTCCCTACTCAAAGAGACTTGAACTGGCTGTGGTGGCACGTGCCTGTAGTTCCAGCTTTTCAGGACACTAAGGCTGGAGGGTTAAGGACAGGAGTTCAAGGTTAGCCTGACAATATAGCAAGACTCCAACAGTTGAAAAATAAATAAAATAAATTAAAAAAATCTTTGCAGATAATCAGAGTAGAGAGAGAGAGGGTTTATTCTTCTTTTTTTTTTTTTTGGAGAAAGAGTTTTGCCCGATCATAGCTCACTCCAGCATCAAACTCCTGGGCTTAGGCAATCCTCCTACCTCAGCCTCCTGAATAGCTGAGACCACAGGCATATGCTACCATGCCTAGGTAATTTTTTGATTTTTTTTGTAGGGTTGAGGTCTTGCCATATTGCCCAGGCAGGACTCAAGCAATCCTCCTGTCAAAGTGCTGGGATTATAGGGATGAGCCACTGTGCCTGGCCAGTACACATCTCTTATTGTACTTGCCACATTTGGTTGAAATTATTTGTTTATAGATTTGTCATTCTTACTAAACTTTGAACTGTTAAAAGAATTGATATTTATTTTGTTCACTGTTATTGCTTAGGTCATATTAGGCACTCAAATATTTGCTGAATGAATGAAAAAAATAATGTGGTAGGTAGTCTGAAAGAACGTGAAGCACTTGGAGAGATTGTAGGATTGAGTTCTCGCTTCTCAGAATTAGAAAAGTCATCATGAAGCAAACGGAATAGAATTTGAACAGTTAGAATCAAATGATCTATGCAATGGCATAGGGTGGCAGAAAGTGACAATTGCTAAATATTTTTTCATGTGTGCCTGCATTATATTTTGTTATTCAGATTTCATAGCAATGCTAAGAACAGTGAACTCCTGCCCCCTCACCCCTGCTGGGATTGCAGATGGTGGCTCCTTTAAATTAGGTGGTCATGAAGGCCCCTCTGAGAAGGAACTTTTGAATCAAGACCTGACTAGTACAAGGTGCAGTGATTTGGAGGGAGTGGTCCAGGCAGCACTAACAAGATAAAAGGCCCTGAGGGAGAAAAGAGATTGGCATATTTCAGGTACTTGTGGTTCAGTGTTATAAAAGAATAGAACTGGTGCGGGGGGAAGGAGACGGGGCAAAAAAAAAAATAGAACTAGGTAGTGGGATGGTGTGGGAGAGTGTGGTAGAGAATAGCCTGAGATAGAGAGGTAGGTATATACAGCAGTATCTTACGAGCTGTAGGCCCATTACTCAGTCATGAAGTAAATTTGTGGTATGTAGTCAGCATTAAAAAAGAAGACATAAAATAGCAACTTAACATATTCATTTTATGTAGTAAGGGTAACTTTCATCAACTGATATAAACTATATTTTTTCTGTGAGTCCTGATCCACAAAGATCAAGATACAGTGTATTGTGAAACATACGTACTTTAAAAGGCAAAGTAGTTGAAATCCAAGGCATGTAGAAAGTCTAATTTCTCTTTTGACTCAGTGAAAATGTTCCTTTTGTGTGTCAGAAAAACTTTGCATTTAATAAAAGTCTAAAATTGGCTATAATACAGTTTTCAAGTTTCTTTCTGCATCCAGATCTCTATCCTACATCATTTATAAGAAAGTATGGGCCTTTAGTAACAGAGAGAAATAGATGTCACTTCTCTGTGTTCAGTCTAGACACTGGTGATTGTATTTTGGCAAAGGATGGTGCTTCCCTTTAAGCAGCTGAGGATGAAGGTTGTTTGCTCTGTTGGTGTGACTTCCTGACCACTGTAGTTTATCTGATCAGCTTCTGTCTGTATCTAGTTTGGTACCGTTGTGGCTTCCAAATTTTAAAATCACCTTTATGTTGTGAAGCAGATATAGGCACTATAGCTTAGTACGTCTCTCATACTTGTCTAAGATATAGAATATACTGGAGTCATTTATTTGCTTTTATATGGAAAGAGAATAGAGAAGGTAATTCTAAGACCCATTTGATTAACAGAAATGTGAATGCTACATATCTTCTAAAAATAGCATTCATTCAAATACTGCTACTACAGATAAACTGTTAGTGTAAAAAGACTTTAAAGATTATTTGCAGTGTTCCATAAGAATTAGTCTAAACCTTTAAAGTACAAATGTTGCAAAGTTGTTGTTTAAACAGAACCTTCAAAGACAGTTTCATGATTGCTAAAGAGTAAGATTTTATTTCACAAAATGTTTTTCAGTTTCAACTTTATTTTTAAAGTGTCTCCTAATAGCTCTACTGTTTTTGTCTTTAGCATCTGCTTTTTATTCATCTAGAATTCCTTTTGTTATTTTAACTGCTAATTTGGAAGAATTGTGGTTCTAAAGCCCTGCAGGATTCCATTTACTAAAACTGAATCAGAAAGTACAGAACTTAAATTACAGATCTGAAAACTTAAAAAGTCTATTTTCATATGTATTTTATTATGAATTGAGTTTAGAGTCTGTTATAGTTTTCTTTAACAGGAAACAGTAGTATTTGAAAAACTAAATAGAAGTGGTTAACATAATGCTCTAATTTTCCTTACATGGAGCTTTTTGGTTTTTTGACTTTTTTCTTGCCCATTCTTTCTGTCTTATTTGCCAATTATTCATTTAAAAAAGTATGTATTGAGTGCTTTCTGTATGCTAGAAACAGGTGATTAATAAGATAGCACACAGTGGTTCCTACCTTATGGAATTTATAGAGAGAAACAGATATTGGAAATAAATAGCAGGCTATGGCAGTCTAGGCATGGTGGC